AAGGCAGGTCAGGTACCTTTAGACAATCTCCTAAAGCAGCTGTTATATTCGTAAAGACTTCATATAATACAGTCTTTCCAAGCAAACAGCTGCCCGTGTTCATGCAATATTTTCACCTAATTTAAGTGTTCTTTGCTGCAAGCAGCTGAAGTCTTTGAACTCTCCTTCCTAGGCTATATTTCCTAAAAGTTTTATTTTTCTTGGAGAAAGTCCAGAGAAGTTTTGGATCCATGTCTTGGAGGTGTAGTGTCCAAACTGGTTGCAAGCTTCATTTTGCATGAGAAAAAAATTAAGCATTGCTGTTAATCTCAGAAATGACACTACAATTTTTGCAGCAGTGTCACATCAGTGAGCCTTTCAGTCTCTGGTTCACTTTAATCCTGAGATCAAATGTCAATAGTACTGAAGTTTACTGTGCTGTAAATTCTTTCATCTAAATGCAGTTGGGTATCTGTAACTGTTTTATAGCATAGCTGTAAGTATTCTCAGATCAGTTCACTGGAAATGTGTTTAACCACACTTTCTCTTCTGTTTTTGTCATAAAGGATGACTGTAGTTTATGATCCTTCAGCAGCTCTTAGCTAGAAACAGTACATGGGGTACATTCAGTTGTATAAACTTAAAAGATTCCTGTAACAGTTGCCTAATAAATGAGTAATTTTCCTTTCTGTTCTTTGATAAACTTTTACAGTAATATTTAAGTTTTTGTCAAATCTAAAATGAAAACATTCTGCTCTGGAAAACAACTTCTGCCTTTTGAGTTCTTTACCTTAAGTACTACATTTCTGTAGTAAGGCAGTTGAATTTGTACAGCAGTAATTCCAAATATCTTAATATGCTTGCTGTTGCACTAAAAACTGTATAAATACTCAAAAACAAGTATTTGAGAACTTCACAACTCTCCGTGGTCTTGTGGCCTGTATGTTGAGAATCTCACAACAGATTATCCACAAAATTCAGCAACCTCACATTTTGTATTCAGAGGGGTCCAAATCCAGTTACTTCAGGTCTTGAGAAGAATAGGGCTGTTCCAGGAATTTGTATCAACTGAAATAAATATTTTGATGGACTAATTGGATTAAAGAATGAAAGAAGCAATAAATAAAGGATCCCAACTTGAGAAGTAACCAGACATGTTCGAGTCCTGTTTTGAAAAACATCTGTAATTGTTGAAAGCCTTAAGGTCTCATTAACACTGATAACACTTTATGCTTGTTATTGAAACTGCTTAAAAAAGGTATCAGCTATAAGAGTTTATGCAATGTAGAGGTTAGGCCACATAGTGAGCCTATCCTTGTTTAGTCATACCAACTCTTTGAGAATTAATTCCTTCTCTGTTAATAGCTATATTCATAGGGATTTTCTTATTTTATTCTGTTTCTGTGGCTAGGAAGAAAAACATTGCATATATCCTGTGCATTACCTACAACTTTTCTGAAGCTAGTTGTGTTTAAACCAGAACGTATTCCTAGAAAAATGTTAGCTCTTGATTAGAGACTTGGTCCTGTAAAGGAACAGACTGCCGATTGTGTAGTTTCATCAATCAATTCATTTCACCATGGAACTGTTGCCATTTGTAGCTTTTGTCTGTTAGACTTTGCCCTGTATTAAATGTCTTATCTGTTTGTACTATTTATGTATGGATTAAAATCTTCCTGCCTCCCAGGTATTCTTTAGACTAAGTTAGTTGAATTATTAAGCTTTTTGCTCATTAAAAAAAAAAAAAAAAGTATCTCTAATTTTCATGTCAGTTTATGTTGTGGTGGTCTTTCAAGTTTCTTTCAGCTTGCTTCTTTAAAACTATATATACTTAAGCTGGCACAGTGCTACAGTAATACACCAGAGTAAAGCACAGGTATTACCCCATTGTGTACATTCAGAGATCATGTATGCCATTTTATTGTAGAAATACATTCACTTGGTTATCAACTGTAATTCTCAGTCTTTTTCAGAGAAGTTAAATCCTGGCTACAATCCTTCCTACTAGAAAGCTTCTGTTTTTCATTCCCTGATGTATTTAACATTATGCATTTCAAAATAGTCAAATATTTTTGGGTGGTTTATGCCTAAATTCACAGGCCAGTTCAGAATAGATGACACTTGCATTATTCTTGTTTTCCCATGACTTAGAAATACGATAATAACTTCAGGCTTTCCAGTTATAAATAAAAAGGTGGAATAATTTAGGTATTGGAAAGTAATTTGTGGAGGGATATATTAGATCTATATCTCTGTTACCACTTCTAGTATGTATGTATAAAATATATACAAATACAGATACACTTTTGGATCAAAAATTGAGATAGAGCTTTTGATGCATTTAATAGGTTATCTTTTATTGTTCACATTATTAAAATGGCATTGGTACGATAATATTGGAGTAGGATTCTGTTGTCTAAATATAGCCTACATTGCCATTTTAGATCTCCTATGATTTTCTGCCTGGTGGCTCAGCTGCCTCTATAAAAAGGGATAAATCTCCCATAGGTTCCTGTAATAGTATTTGCCAATCCTGTATGGATTTCTTGAGCGTTCTAGGACTTATTAGAGGGTAATAGCAATCAATCCTCATACAACTGAATCATGTCCTGTATGTATTGCAGAGAAGTAGCAGTGTTGGATTTATTGATTAAACTTGTTTTCTCAAATTTCAAAAGCTCACACAAAATTCACACTGGATTAGCATTAATTATCATGTTTTAATTGTATTAAGGTTCAATATTGCCTCCCTTTCTCTCCTACCACCCAATCAATTTTGAATGTATCCTGCTAGTAAAGTATAATTAGTAGAATCATAGAAATGTTAGTTAGAAGGGACCTCTCGGCTGTAGTGTGTGGGATTTTTTGAGGGGAAGAGGAGGTTGGTTTTGGGAGGAGTATTTGTTTTGTTTTAAACTTGAAAACCTTTGGTGATAGAAATTCCACAGCCTTTCTTGGTAACCTGCTGTGCTGTATTATGCACAAAAGAATTTCGTGTACCTCCCAGACCATAATTTATGGTTGTTGTCCCCAGTTCTATGACCTGCCACTGCGAAGAGCTATATGCTTCCACTTGTAGCTTGTATCTATCCCATAGATGTTTCTAGTATGAAATATGGTGTTAACTACTTGTTTAAATGGATAAGTAAATTTAAGTTTTACTGTTTTGTATAACCTGCAGCCTCATACCTATCCATTTAGCTAATTCTTCTAGTTTTATTTTTAGTTGTTTGGTTTTGTGGTGTTTTTTTCATGGGAAACGAAAGAGGAGAAAAACATTAGTCAGGTATTTTTTTCCCATCATTTTGATTCAGATATTGAACATAGAGTTGAACTTTAGCAGGATTATTTTTAATGCATTGTGTCAATAACGTGAAAAATGCTACAGCTGGGTTTCAGATGCAAGAGCACCCAACATCAGTGTTCAGTATGGAGATACTGCTATAAGTAGTGGAGATAAACAGAATTCAATGTATCAGAATAGCTCACTTCAGATAGATATAAAAATCTGAATAAGAAGGCACCCTTTTTGAAAGATACTTACCTTACTGTAAAAGATACCATTTATCAAATTGATTTCAGTATATAGACACATGTCTAAAAATACAGCATGTTTAAAAATAGTACGTGTATGTGAAATAGGAGGGGGGAAAAGCCTCATACACCTTAACAGCAATTGATGCCTATAGCATCGAACCCTCATTTTAGGAAAGGCTATTTGAACGAATAACTCCAAACTGCTGAGTCTATCAATGCCTTAGCAATACTAAGGAATGAGACTGCTAAGGAGAATGAGTGTGTTGAAAAACTACAGCTAAGATTGAAAACAGTGAGTTTGCTATTTTGCTTCTAATTGGATGGTTTCTATCCTTAAAAAAACAAAACAAAACCAAAACCCAATGAAAACTATTGCAGGAAATAGTTAAAATGCTGCAACTTAGCTGGCTAAATCTATCAAATTGTGCGGAGTACTACCTAGAATTGCGAAGATGATGAATTCTGTGGGACAGTATGCATGGTCATAGAATCTTTTGCTTGCTATAAATGGTACTAGATGAGAGAGGGTCAAAAGACCTGTGTGTATTAAGTATGTGAGTAAAAGTATCAATTTGAAGCAAAAGAAAATGCAACTCTAGTGATTAGCAAAGGTCTGCTAGGAGGTGTCAGTGCCCATTTATGGGGCACTTATTAGACTTCAGCTGGTGTAAAAAAGGTGATTTAGTCACTTCTCAAGAATGATGGGTTTGAAATGGAACACGTGCAGAGAGGAGATGCAGGAGGATCAGGGAATGATGTGTTTACTTCTTGATATAGAATCATGGAATCATTTAGGTTGGAAAAGACCTTTCAGATAATTTTGGGGGCTTGTTTGAGGGGTCCTAGAGTCATGGTTAAAAGAAGATATGTTTGTTCAATATAAATTAATAAAATGGGTGGATAAAGAAAAAAACTTCATTTAACAAATATTGGCAAGAACCTGATACAATTTACTGGAGACTAAAGGTTGAAAGGCTTCCAACAGTCAGAATAGTCAGGTTTCAGACCTGTGGAAACGTAGTTTGTGTCAGAATGAAGCCTAAGGTTATGATGAGGTAGATGTAATTGCCTGCAGTGGTGTAGGACTGTATCTGTGGTATTTCCACAAGACTTTTTGAGGCTTCCACTTAATAAGAGAAATCAACACTGTTGCAATTTCACCCCTGAAACAAAGTGACTTTTGATACTAAAATGTAATGAATGCGGTAAGAGAAAGCCAGGTGCATATAACATACATCTGATGTATAACTTGTAAGATATCTGAACCACTGCTGATAAACTATATTCTGCCATTTCTATGTAACTAAAATATGATAGGGAAATGCAAAATAAATATTAAAAAACCCCAGCATTGAATAACTTTAAACATGTGTTGTAAAGATGATTACGCTTGTATATATTAACATTTTATGTTACATAAAACAACCAAAACCCAGAATCATTAACTTCAGCAGCTATGTAACTTTTTTTCTTCCTTCATTCAGATAACAGTGATCTAATTGCTTGTACAGTCATAACAAAGGATGGAGGTCAAGTTCAAAGATTCCTGGCTGTGGATATTTACCAGATGAGTTTGGTTGAGCCAGATGTTGCCAGACTTGGATGGGGTGTAGTTAAGTTTGCAGGCCTTTTGCAGGTAAGAGAAATTTTCATCTGGGTGGTTACTTTTTCTCAGCTGAAAAACTACATTTATGTTGGATAAATAGTAATACCAGTATTAGCTTACATACTTAAGCTCAGTGCCATGCTTACTTGTTTCTTCATACTAGTCTTTTTCTCTAGTTCCTGCCTTTTAAACTATTTCTGGTTTTCTGAAGAAGTTTACATAGCTAACTAGAGGCACACTTGAAAATGAGGTAACTTCTCCAATATATATTGGGCTGTGTTCAAATGAACACCGAAATCACGTACAATTAGGATTGAGTCCCAAGCACTTTCCTTAACTGGCACAGTAATGAACTGTCTTAGATTTCTGATCTTCCTACATAGGTAGGGAACGTGATAGGTTGTAACTTCAATATGATCTGTGTTTATCTAATTGATTTCAGAAGCTTTAAGAAGTTTCTCTCATTTATGTCTCTTTCTTGCCTTCACCAACACTGTTTGTATTTCCCAAAAATTCACTATACTCAATTTAATTGAATTTTAAACTGACTTAATCTCTATGAGTACAAATTTCTGAAGAACTAAATCCAAAGTTATACAACTTGCATAGTCTTTTTTTTTTTTAATTATTTTTAACACAGAAACTGGGTTTTTTAGGAGCTGTAGTGGAGCATTCATAGGATTTTCTTTCAGTGTTGATATTTATAGCTTAAAAATGCTAAATTTTCATGAGCTTGCCTTCTATTTCTTTTTAGGATATGCAGGTGACGGGGGTAGAGGATGACAGTAGAGCTCTGAACATAATTATTCATAAGCCTGCCTCCAGTCCTCATTCTAAGCCTTTCCCTATCCTTCAAGCTACATTTATATTTTCTGATCACATTCGCTGCATTATTGCAAAACAACGTCTTGCAAAAGGCCGTATCCAAGCGCGGCGTATGAAAATGCAGAGAATAGCAGGTAATCAGTTATTTTGAAATGATTCTGAGAAATAAGACTTGTATGTCATAGCAAGTCACTCTGTAACATAAGGATGTGTTAGATAAATCTAAGAAGTGGTGCGCCACAGAAAACTGTAAACCAGTGTCTAGTTTCCAAGCAATAGATTTTATTGAAGTAAAATATGTGTTTTCATATTTAATGATAGGCACACCAAAGAAACAATGAAAAAGAAGGAATCACATACTGTGATGTTGATGATAATGCTTAATGCTTGGATGCGGTGATGAGCAATTGAAAATGTTAAGTAGAGTATCAGCAGCTAGATTTCTGTGTTTGGAGAAAATGCATGCGAAGGGATGAAGGAAAGAGTTAATTTGAGTAAATAGCAAAAAGTGATTAAAATATTACTTTGAATATTCAAGTAAATGAAGAATAAATTGAAGCTTACCAGTAAACTGAATGAATTGGTGAGTTTAGAAAAGGAAACTTTGAAATACAGGAAGGAAAATAGGTGGGCAAATGGTAAAAGGACACCAGCTATCTCAGTTACTTGGATTGTCCAAGAGCAATAATGAACTAATCAGAGCTGTGAAAAACAAAGTCATAACTGGTTTAAAATTATTGAGTTGGCCAGAGAATTATTCTGATTACAGACTGTGTAAGACTATTTTAGTGTCTTATGGTTCTGTAGGAAGCTAACTAGAGACAGTTTTATGTTTTGAGTTTACAAAATAGAAATATCATACTCTTATGGCTTGTTTCATGTTAAAAAACTTAAAGCAAGTTTGTGGTTAATACAGGTCTATTTTGATAGTAAAATTTTAGGTTCAATGGTAATGCAAAGTAATTTTTTTTTTCCATTTTAAAGCCAATTGTCTCTTTAAATGGCTCTCTGCAGTATTCAGTTGTAACTAATGGATGACTATACAGGGAAAAACTGAAGATTTTTTTTTAAATAACTCCTATGGCTTGTTTAATGCAAGGAGATTACTGTAATCCTTTTCTCCTCCACTGTATTCTGAGACTTCCTTAGTGTGAATGTGGTGTGGACAGTAATGGTAGAAAAAGTTGCCAGAAATGTTGTGTCTCTTCTTTTCCAATGCAATTGCAGCCATAATTAAGAGGTAAATGCAGGCAAGTTATGTTAAATAATCTGGTTTAGTCTTAAGATCCTGAGCAAGCTATCAATTTTATTTTCACCTACTCTTCCTTTTATGTATTTTTGAGTAACAAAAATTATCAATTTAAACACAGCTCTCCTGGATCTTCCTGTTCAGCCTTCAACTGAAATTGTTATGGGTTTTGGACACAGCTCTGCAGCTACAGCCCAACACCTCCCATTTAGATTTTATGATCAGTCACGACGTGGTACCAGTGATCCTACAGTGCAACGCTCTGTTTTTGCATCTGTTGACAAAGTTCCAGGTAAGATTAGCATTTATTGTCAAGCAGTTTTTTCTTTGTGATTTGTATCTGCAAAAGCTGAACTGTAGCTTGTATAAGCAATGAAAAGCTTGCTGTGATCTGTTTCTGAATGCATAAGTGCAGGATGAGGCTTATGGAAAAACTTACTCCTAGAGAAACAAGTAGTACCTGGGTGTGTATTCCAGGTATGTTGTGAGCAGTACATCCACGGCAGTTTCTCCAAATACACTGGAAGTGTCTTAATACTTTGCCTTCTTTTACAAGCTGAGTTAGTTTAAATCATGTTTCACATACTCAGTATTTATGCAACACATCTGTCGGTTGTGCATAGTTCCTCCTTTAATTTGGTTATGATAATTTTCTTGCCAGTTTGTAAAAATAGCTAAGATACTGTGCAGTGCTTCATTTCCTTGGAGCTAGCGAGATAGAAAAGGGCCAGAGCTACTCCTAAAACATTAGCTTGAATTTGAGATTAAAGGAATGATTCTAAATCAATAAGGTTTTTGCTCTTTTGTCTCATTATTGTCTGTTTCACAAATTGACTTCTCTGCAGAGGTTTTTTCCCGGATGGTGAACTTTTCTCCTTTTGGATTGAGTCATTTTAAAGTTGAATGTCATACTGCTTGAAAGTACTTAGTTTTGGTGTATTGTACAAAAAGGTGCAATCTTGTTACCACTAGCAGCCAATCATTTCACAAAACTCAGCTTTTCTCTTTACATGTGATTCAGTAATTCAAAATTTAAACGCCCTACTTACAAAGCAGATGTTCTACTGCCTTAGGACTAAATTGGAGCTCATCTTACCTGAGCCCTGAGTCTGGGGAACAGAAATCATAAAAGCATTTGTATTGCTGGTGAGGTTTTCCAAAAGACAAGTGTATGTTGTATGATGGGAATGTATTTCCTTATTTGACATGACTTCCATGGAAAAGGTGTGGTTGAAAAGATGCCAGCGTTACTGTTTCAGAATTAGCCTTCTCTAAGAAGACTGTGCTTGTGTTCATAACAAGTGACTTCATCTACTAATTTTTTTTCTTCCCCCCACCCCCGAGGGGGAGGTGTTGGGGGGTGGTGCAACACTGTAGTTTGTTCAAACAGCCACATAGTTACTTTGAATTCCAGGAAATGGAGACTTCCACTGTATGCACATGCAAATTGAGAAGAAAAAGTATTTTGAACCTTTTATTTGATACCAAATATGAGAAACCAGGCACAGAACATGACGTATTTCAAATGCTATGTTTTTAAAATGCATTTTATGATAGCTAGTAGTATAATAAAAATGGATTAAAATGTTGTTTTACATCTGATTACAAAGTAAATATCAAATGCCTCTTCTTTTTCCCCTTATCTTCACTAATGAATGAATGAGGTGTCCTAGTTCTGAGTGATTTTCGTAGGAATCTGTTTGTGTTTATCCCTTAATCAGGCTTGGAGTGATTTTTTTACTTTAAAGGAAAGATTTTGTGCCTTTTAAAAAAATTATTGAACAAGTTGCAGTTAAATTACTAGCTTCATCTATTAATTTGTTAATGCCACTTTAAGTGGTGTTTAATAGTTCTGCAAAGCTCATATAGTCTGTGAGAAACCTAATAATAGACAGATGTTAACTTGATTGTACTTGTAAGAAACAGGTTACACTTTCCTTTGGTGATTGTGGGTTTTGTTGATTTAAAGGAGAGCTATGTTTTTAGAAGATTTTCACTTTTTTTTTTTTTTAGAAGAACCATTGTCAGTTCTGTACATCCACTGTGGGTTTTAAGAAATTGACAATGATATAAACATTTTCAGCCCTCCTACAAGTTTCAGTCTGTGGAGAATTTTAATACAACTATTGACTCAATTCCCCAAACCCTCATCTCAATGAATTTAGAATTTTAAAGAACACTTATTTCAGTTTCTATTGTAGTGCATACATAAAGCTCTACATATTTCACTAGTGAGCATGTAGTTACCTTATTGTGGTCAAGCTGTGCTTCGCTTTATTGTTTCATGGTCCAAAGTTCAAATCTGCTTGATATCTAGGGGGAAGAGGGTGAGGGTTGTTATAGCTTAAAACTAGGTTTTGTGCAAGATGGGTGAAAGGTGACAAAAATATAACAGACTATGCTTCAGAACATCCCTGTTAATACTTTTTATAAAAAGTATGGGTTATGCAAATGCAGTGAGATGATATAATCATCCCAGATGACTGGCCTGATAAACTGGGTGATTCTTAGCAGAGAAGAACAGAAGCAAAATCCTTCGCTTAAGTGACTTCAGAGTCCATTTTAGGTTAATGGCCCTTGCCAGAATGTTAGAGCATTTAAGGATAGTTTAGCTGGCTGGACTGTTCACCATCTTATTTATTTGCTATGTATTCATATGATGCTTTTGAGCACTCTTTATGTAAGTAATTACATTGTTTTCAAAGAAACAAGCAGTGTCAGTAAGTGCCCTGTGAACATAGGTCTTATATTGAAAGTAAATAAATAATCACTTCCTCTCCAAGCAAACACAAATACTAGTTTCAAATACCAGCTGTGTACTGAAATGTATATGCTCAGTGTGTCTTAAGGGAAATCTTAATGATTTCCTGCAAAATGTACACCTAAATATTTTAACAAGTGTGGTCACTTTTCTAGTGAGAATATTTATTTTGGGAAGCAAAATAAATCAATAGATCTCTCTTACTATTTTCTCCATTGTTAATACTTTAGTATATGATGATGGTAATGAGGTTTTGGTGGAAAAGTTGGGAAAGACCCTTCTTGTTAATATTAGCCATTGCCAGCAAAGTATAGCCATCTTAATTTTAAAATCTGAAAGAAGAAAAATGGTCTTCTGCAGCTTTGTAACCCTTTAAATGAAAGAGAAAATGTGAGAATTCTGTATGAAGTTTGCATCACATGGGAATAGGAAAACTTTAAACAAAGCCCAAGAATTGCTCAAGCAGTGTTTGAGATAGTCCAGGTTTACGTGAAGAAAATGTATTTTAGTTTTGTCAAATACTATTCACTCAAAAAGCATATTATATGCTGCAAAAAAATGGTGTACCCTTCTTTAGCAGGCCACCACAGGTGGGCATAAAATCATAGATTTTTTTTTTTTTTTTAATTAATAATATGAATGCATTCTTGAAATGCGTGTAACCTTTTGTAATTTGCCTTCTCCATCTGTGGTAAGAAAGCAGATAGTTTTGATCAAAGTACTAATGAGAGGCTTGACATTCACAGGTGATGAGCATCTACACTTGTTAACTGATTTCATGGGGTTAGATTGCTCAGCACATTTGAATATCATATTCTAGTTATTCTGGAACTGTATTGTGGGACTCTGATCAATCCTTTCATGTTTGTCATCAACCACAACTACCGTAGGAACAACAGATTGGGATAATTCCAGTGTGAGATGCTTGAATTGTCCCATGCTCCATAATTCTAGGATACAGTTACTTATATAGCCCAGTAGTTTTTAATTCCTTTGTTCTACACAGGAATAATGGAAGACAACTGCTAACTCAGTTTGTCACCTCAGTTTGTTTTTTTCTAATTAATATTCTTTGAACCATTCCAAGTCTGATATTTAGTTATGGCTGCTGCTTTTAGAGACCCAACTCTGCTACCTTTTTGTACCTATTTATATTGCCTGTTCATCAAAATTATGGGGTATGAACTAGATACTAATCTTCCCGTCATCAGAATGATCTAGAACTAAGTCATTTCTGTGCAGAGGTATTCAAGCAAAAGTGCTTAATTAAGGTGGTTCGACAGCACTAAGATTACAGAAGATAACAACTAACTCGATTTGTGTAATATGAATTACTGCTTGTATGCAAGAAATGAAGGATGCCATTTAAACTGAGTTAAATATGCAGGGCTGCTAGTTAGATTTTTTTAATTTTTTCTAATAAGAAATAGGTTTGAAAACAATTGTTGACTGTTACTACTTGGGAAGTTTACTATTTACAAGGATTATTTCCAGTAAAAACCCAGCACTTCAAAATAGCACAGTCTGAAACTGAGAATTCTCAAGTCTTGTGGTTTAGGGCTGACATATGCTTGAGCTTTCTCCATGCCGGTTGAACTACAGTAACTATTCCAATTTCTTTCAACTTGTGGAAAGGATTTCTCTGGTTGATAGAAGAAATTGTGGCATTCTTTAGTATTAGAGTTCCCTTGTGCATTAAAGGACAGGCAAAATAAATGCTGTCTTAACAAAGCAATCGCTTATAATCAGGATGTGCTGGCAAAGGCTTAAGTCCTCTGATCACTGGACTCGAAACTAGTCTGTGAGTATACTAAAGCAATGAGAAGAACTGTGAACAAAGCTACAGTCATTGTATATTGGCATTGCATGGCAAATGTGGCGACTAAAAATGTCAGTTAATCCATTTTTTTTTTAATGCTGGTTGAAGTTGCAACAGCTACTGGCAACAGAGCTCCAAGTGAGATTTTTTTTGTACGTCGTTTTCTTACCATCAAAAACAGTTTTTGCATTAAACCAGTTATTCTTCAGTTTTGTGATGTTGTAATGGACTTTCTTAAATGTAAACAATTCCTACAAGTTTAAATTTTTACAAAGTGCATCAGGTTTTCTAAGGCAGAATAGCACCTTGCAAAGATGCAAAATAACTAGTGAAAGAAATAATTTTCAGGCATGTGAAGATTTTTTTTTCATTCATACTTGCAAAGAAGCCTGAGTTCAGCATTGCCTTGATTTGACGAGGGACCACCCTGTGGAAGGACTTGAGAATTTTTTTGAGGTAACTACACTTAGAACAGAATAGAAAGAAATTGGAATATTTCTTGGGGTAATGAAGATATTGGTGTAATGAAGATATGGTTTACAATGAGAAGACAGTTTCTGCTTTCTTGGCCAAGGGGGTTTTTTTCTGCTTCTCAGGCTTTTTCTTTTTTGTCTTGGTTGTCCTGTTCTCTGCTACCACCCCCCTTTGCCTTCTCATCTTCAAATTTTAATCTTGGGAGATCTTATAGTTCAGGCAGTCTTTTACATGAAATCATTTATAAGAAAATAAGATGATGTTCTCCAATTTACAGGAAAGATTTGCATTAATTGTTTAAGAAAAAGTTTCTTTAAAGAAAAGCTACAAAGATATTTCAGGCTTTGGCATGAAATTTTGCTGCTGTTATGTAAAACATTACAAAAGGATAACTATTGATACATATTTTATGAAAGAAACCCAGACTTATGAAAGATTGTGATTATGGAAATAAGATCTTCTCCAAGGAACTGGGAAGGTACATCTTTACAGTAATGCCTTACTGAGTCTTAAATAGAAAGTTAAGAGTCATAAAGTAGTAACAAAGGCATCTGTAGAACCTTTTGAGTGTTATTTTACTTCCTGCAGCCATGATTAATTCTGCTCACCTTTTCTTGGTGGGTAGTTCCTGAAGGAATTTCCTGGTTAGAATATTTGTTCTTGATCAGTAGTTTCCCAGTTACAGTATTTTGAATGATTTAGACTTATCCTTCCCTCTCACCTAAATTATCTTCCTGTAGCACACTTAAAATCCTTCCTCTGCAGTTATGTTGGGAGAGAAAATATGTTAAGATCATTTGCAAGCAATGTTTCAGTGTAAGGCCGTGAATCTGAGCACTGTTCTGCAGAAACTTGAGGCAGGCAATCTTACTGAATTAGACCAGGTTTTCCTATGATAGTCACAGTAGACCTTGTTTACTTTTTCTACTGTTTCTACTATTTTGGTGAGAATGAAAGAGTTGAAGTGCAAACCTTTTGTGGATGTAGAATGCCTTGGATGTGTACAACTGTTTCCAGCCCTGTGAGGGAAACAAAATATATTGACATAAGCACTTTTATACCAATGGCTTTAGTAACTGTTCCAAAACCAAGTTTCATTCACTTTAACAGATGGCTTTGCCTCATTTCTGTGGTCACAAGTCCATTGATTATTCCTTGTTTCCCATCCTAACTGGTGTTTCAAAATATGAAGTATGTATGAGAAACCTAATGCACGTTTGCTATATTAAAAACTATATATATCAGTGGCTCTGAGTGCTATAGAAGTCTTTCATGTTTGAGGTAGTTTAGTTTGTGGTTAACATTTTGCAGACTATCGGGCGTCACTGTGTGTGTAACCTCAGTTTAACTTATCTAAATGATTGTAGAAGATCAATCAGTTTGGTTTCTGAAATAAAATACATGGATTTGTTTACATTTATGGAATAATTAGTTGCTTACCAAAGTATTTTGTTTTTAACTAAAATAGATGTCTCTTACCATGGTGGTTATTTAATTCTTTCAAGTGGTGTTCATCTGGGACATAATGAATGGTAACTTAAAATAAGAGAAAAGCTTAGTAAAAGTGGCATGTACCCATCTCAAACTATGATGCAAGCACTACACCAATTCAGATAGCATTGTGTTTTGGTAAATGGTTTTGAGTCTAGCTCTTCAGTATAAGCAGGGAGGTAGAGCGTAAGAGGTGGGACCACAGATTAAGTCAGATTATTAACAGAACTGACGTTTGTTAGCTTTTTCTCTGAGTTTTCCTTTCTTCATCCATTCAGGCTTTTTTTCCTTGTAAAACGAGCTGTCAGTATGTGTTGCTGCTAACAGCATTTTCCTGACTTGTCATGCCTGTGTTTTAAAGCTTTCATATGCTTCTTGTAACAAGTCCATTTAAATTGAATTTTGACTGGCTGCCTGTTGCAAGGCACCAGCAAATGCCCCATATAGGAGACTCTCTATAATGAGTGAATCGTCCATCCAGTGCCATGGGAGATTCCCGATATAAAAGAGTAAAGAATTGTGTGGTGCATTTGCTTTCTCTCTTACCTGATTATCAGATAGTTTCCTTTTCAGTGTTCACTATGCAGTGAAGACAACAAGTAGTGTGCAGTTTGGTGTTTCATAGTGCACATTGTGGCTACTTTCAGTAGTTCAGAGGACTACCAATGAAAAGTAAATTTTTGCATTAATACTCTCCCATGGGAGAGCGAGGAGGGCTGCAGAAGCAACTGAGTTGTGTACATCACCTGAAATACTGCCCATATTAAAGATACTTCTTTTGCTGTAAAAAGTGCTTCAACTTCTGTAAAGCTGCTTGCTATCAAAACCTGAAGACATGACTAAAAGCTTCCAAGTACTGGGAGAAATGTCTGCCAAAGGAAAGCCTTACTAATATAACTGAGGAATCCCTATAGGCATGTCATTGTGAGGAGAGTTGCTGAAAACCACGAGCAGGGTGTAATCTAAAGATAAAAGAGATCAAGGAAGTATGAACAGCGGTACTTTTCTTCATTGGACTTGTGTGGGAAAGGCAGTTCGTGAACTTTTCTTTCAGAGCATGGTGTAAATTCCAGCAGGTAATTCCGTAGCATTCTAAGATGCTAGACCTTTAAGATTTTGATTCTTCTGCATTTTTATAATACTGATGTGATTCAAGATCAAATGATTGACTTACATAACAACAACTATGAAAATAGCAAGTTGAAAATTCACCGGAAAAATCAGAGCAAAGGGGGGGAAATAACTGCTAGTTGAAAGATACAGTAAAGGGCAACTGGGAGATATCCTGACTTGTTCAGTCTAATCACAAGTGAATTAGCAGGTCATCCCAAAGCAGGGGTCTTCAACATATTAGGATCAACAGAGTGTGTGAAAATAATTTCTGAAATTTTTCAGAACTGGAGTAACAAGTAAACTTGTTGTCAAGCCTGGACCTTTCATAGTGTCACCGAACAACTTTTTTCTGATAACCTGGCAGAGGATTGATGCAAGAGTTAAGTGTTCTGACTTTCTTGATCTAAAGTCTGCTGAAAGCCAGAGCATGCTTACTTGCTTCTGTCCTAGCAATGATAAACTCATCTTGTTGCTAAATGAAAATATAAACTTTAAAAAAGTCATAACACTTGTGGAAAACACAAGATGTTTTAAACAATAAACAAAAATGTATTTTCAGATATAATAGAAGATGACTTCTCAAGAAAAAGAAAAAAAAACCTTTGTTAAAGCCACATGCTTTTGAAACACCAAGTAGACTCTGGTTTTCTTTCTTTTGCTCAATATTACAACTCTTCTCAAATACAAACTACATTCTTACAAGACTGATGTTGTAAAGTGTTCTCTTCCAAAGATACTCTTGTATTTCTGGTTATGTTGAGATGAAATAATGGTTAAATGCGTGAATGTCTGAAATTTAAATTTAATTTGAAATTATCACAAGTGAATCATGTCAACCAGACAGATTACCAATAAGGCAATAAAAAATAAAGATGTTCATAAATACAAGCTAGTTATGTCAAGTAAATTTTTTATATAGTATCTGTTTTGTACAAAGTTACCATATAATCATTCTTACCCATAAAAGAAAAATTAACTAATTGTTTACTTCTACTAAATGTTCAGCGTGTGCTTGCAGTGCTACTGGACTTAGAGGAGACACCTTTGTGGGCACTTATTTTAGTAGAATATGACTGAATGGCAACATAACGCATTTACACATAACCTCAAGAATAAATTTGAATTGTCTTGGCTCATAACATGCTTCTGCACAAAATATTTTGCACTGCATACAGGGTAAAACTATTGTTTACTTTCTCATTTAGTGTAGTCTTATGTAATGAATGCTCATCTTGACTAAATCAGTGAAATTAAATATTTTATTGTACATCATTCTCAGGTTATTTGGTTCTGAGATGTTTGGTTTGAGAAACCAGGGATTTGAATCCCTTCCTTGCACTTCTTTCTTAAATTGCTTACTTTCAATGGATTTCCCTGTGCTGCAGGTTCTTGATACTTTCTGAAATTGCATCTTATAGGAGAAAGTGTGTGAGTCATCATATGTGAGGAGGGAAGGAACTAAAATGAAGTTTTGGGGGGTTTTTTTAAGGCAGGGGGGATGGAAAGATGGAAGATGGAAGCAAAGATGGAAGCAGGGGGGTGCAGAGGAAGGAGAAAGGAATAAATGCAAGATTATATTAGAAAGAAGAGGATGCTACAGTGCAAAGAATTTCAGGAAATATTAGACTGAAATCCAGAAGAAGACTTATTTTAAAAGTGCTGTCAGACACTGTATAGACTGTTTGACTTACAAGAAGGTGGTTGAAATCCAATGCAACATTAGATTTGATTGATAAAATTTTCTGAAGTTATCATTTCTGCAATAAAAAAATGTAATGCAAGTTTTCCATCTAAGAGGTTTTTTGATTCACTTTTACTAACCGTTTTCCTTATCACATTAAGATCTGTAACCCATTAATTTATTGAATATACCAAAAACTGAAGAGTTTTGACATGTTTTGACTGTGCTTGTCCAAGGTCTAAGTTTTAAAATGTTTTGCATCCCTTGACCTCTACTTTCTTGTTCATTGATCAGCATTTATAGATAGCATGTTTTCAGTAAGATTCATTCAGATTTTCAGGCTTGTGAGATGAAGGTGAGAGTGAGTGCATCCTCAGGGTCACTACATGAAATTAACACCACTTTGCAATATTCACTCTTACCCTTTCTCAGTTGGTTGATGTAGGTTAACTCTTTCAAGTTAATTATTAACTCATAAACTTCCTTGTGCTGTTTTTCAGGCTTTGCTGTAGCCCAGTGTATAAATCAGCACAATTCGTCACCACTCTCATCACCATCACCTTCCAGTGGCAGTGGGAGTACGGGGCGTTGTGATTCAGTGACTGCAAGCTCAACATCCACTCCTTCTGCTGCACAGAGCCCATCAGGTATTAAATCACGATTTTCAGCCTAGGCACCAAGTGATGTAGAGTAGTTTGTTGTAAAATTAAGTTATTAGGTTATTGGCTTAAATATAGAGTAGGGCTTTATGGTTTTAGATCACTCGCTCATTCAACTAAACCAGTTAAAGTAAATTGTGGTGAATTTTAATGATCTCTTCAGCGTTCTGGAATTCTAATAAATACTTGGTATGTTCCAGAATTTTAAGTACTGGTGAAATAATGTCCTGCTTGCCTGATTTGTCTCCTAGCACATACAACTTAAAATGTTGGGGTTTGATTTTTTTTAGAAACTGAAGTATTGCTTTGCATAAATTTGTACTCTTAACCGTTAGCTTTTCACCCTTGTGGATAAATTGATCTCCACATGAAGCATCTTTTTTGAACTTGGTGACACTTGCATTTGTATGTTTGTCTGATACTTATGTTAATTTTAAACAATGGGCCAAATATGTAATATTTGAAAATAGTTATTTAGAATGCTAGCATTATAAAGGTTTTGCGCTAACACTCTTCTGGCTGAATACCGCCACATCTGAGGATGCTGTTTCATTGGTGCGGAAGAAGCTGCCATATAAACAGACTGACAGTATAACTCACAAATTTAGCTACCATGTGTTTGAGTTGGTCAGTATATTTAGTGGATATGTTTATACTGAGACTTCTTGTTGCATTAGAATGCCTTCGTTCCTCCTTTCTGGGATAGTATTTGTAGAGAGTCTTATAACGATGCTTGATCTGAGTACAAATTATGTGTGAGGTACAAGCCTCAAGCTGGAGACTAAACAAGAAGTAAATCCTGATGAGTGTGTACTGAAATGCTTTCGTGCTAGAACTGACCTACTCTACCTCATTTTGGTTATAAAACGATAGAGGTCTTGGTTCTCAAGACCTTTTCAAACAGCCCCCTCATTTTAACAGTCACTTCCAATGCTGATCACTCCTTGAAATGGTTGTTCTGATTTTGTCCACTTTAAGACTTCCATTTTGCTTTTATTTGGAAGCTTCGTGTAGATCTAAACTTTTTTGCAGTCCTACAGGAAATGATGCAATCTTTGTTAGACATACAGTGTTTTGTAGGTTTCACTGAACAGTGTCAGGAGATCAATGTACATTATACATCCAAAGTGACTACCCCTGCAAGAAATATTGCTGGAAAGGATAAGCAAAGGCTGCTTGTGAAGTTTTATGAACAGTGATAGATTAACAGATAGTCAAAATATTCCTGCAATATGTGTAATTCCAAAATAAAATTTGGAATATTTTTCTATATGCAATTTATTCAAAACTTTGGAAGAACCTCATTTTACTTTCTGTGTTGGTAAGTGCTGTTATCCAGTCTCTTGATAGCCTACGTAGATAATATGTAGTGATTGCACAGAGAAGTGGTATCATTTGTTAAAAGCCAGTATGCATTGGCACTAAAAGAAAACGTTTGTTTGACTACATGTTTCTCCTTAGCAGTGTAAACAGGCTCATCTATGATGTCCTTCGCTGTATTTGAACCCCCTGTGATCAGGAAGTAAAATGCAAGTAAAAGTTCTTGGCAATAGTGGCTAAGAGAAAACTGTAGTAAAAGAAATGAAAATTAAAAAATCTAAATTATTTTTGTTGCTGTAAGCAACATGCTAATTCACAGAAATACCAAGCAAGACTATACTACATGTTTCACACTGAGGTCTTTCAAGCGCATATAATCTGACTTCTGTGAAAATCTGAGTAGATCCAGAACACGTAATTCCTCATCTAGCATAAAAAGATGGTGTCTTATTGAAGAATAATCATAGACTGTAGTTAACAAAATTAAAATCTACTTGCACAATATGTTCCCATTTGTATAAGATAAAATTCTGTTTATTGTTCCTGCAGTTTAAAAAGCCTGATGACAGGAGGCTGCTCATAGGTTTCAAAAAACAAAAGAAGAAATAAAAACAACCAAAAAAGCCCCAAACAAACTTTCTCCCCCCCCCAAAAAAACCAACACAAAACCACCCCACCCCCAAAGAAACCCCACTGAAAAACCACAAAAACACCACCACCACCACCAAAAACAAACAAACAAAACCCAACAAAAAACAGAGGAAAGGGGGTTTTAAATACCTGGTTTCAGCCTGCACTTTACAGGTAGGGTTGCATGAACTGTCCACATTTAGTATGACCTTCATTGTGGCTTAATCATAAAGTATGTTCAAAATTCCACGTGTGATGCAGGAAAACAGTCTTTGGGTGGGTTTTGGTTTTTTGCACAGGAACTAGGTGCACAGATGTAGATGCTTTAGCAAATCTAGTTGTGAGGATACAATTCTCTGCCTTACCAGTATAAGCATAGTAACCTTCAGCCAAGTTACTGGAAATGAACATGAGAATCTGTGTCAGCTACTTCAATCCCAAGTCAGCAGCTTGCATTAACCTGCTGCAGGGATGACTTTTGAGCGCAACTCCTGGATTTTGTTATGCTAACTCTGATAGCAGTAAGAAAGAGGAAGACACTGACTGTATGTGCTTGAGCAGGTAATTCAGTGCAACAGGATGATGAACAGTTGGTACTGAGGTGCATGCATCTAATCTGCATGTGGTTTAAGGATTTTGCTGTGGACCACGCTTACTCTGACCTTTAGGATCAAGCATCCCTGCTCTGTATGTGATTTTCTGAAGGACAAATTATTAGTTCAGGCGTATGTTGCTATTAATATTTGAGGTCTATTTGGTGCATAGTTGCAACGTATCTTACAGTTTGGTTTACTTGTGAAAGAATCTCATTAATGCACAGAAACTGTTCCTAAAATCAGACTAAAGCAGTTAAGTGTGCATAATTCTTCAAAGCTGCTCTATTGGTCTGAACCAAACTGCTAATGTAGTTGCAGCCAATAATGAGCACATAATGTTTTAAATAGTTATAGCTGAGTGGCTGATGGTGTCTCAAGGTCCTTAGTATAAACTAGAGAGGATTCCGAAAGCCCTGAAGCTGAGTCTTTGAGGGGTGGGGAGGGTTTTCTCCAACCCGAGGAGTTTTGTTGACACTTTTTGCTAATCTTCAGTATCAGATCAATAGTATTGTCTATTCCTGGGAACAATGTTTCTGTGTTAACTGATTTGACCAGTTTACTGCAAGTTTGTAATGAATGTTCTTCTTTTTATAGTATTTGTATGTAATTGTGATCTATACTGGAAACTGTTGCCACGAGCATGACCATGAAAGAGATAGCTGTTCCATAGGGTTCTGCCTGAACAGAAGTATACCGCTGAAATAAGCGATAGTGTCCTGACCACTGTCTGCGTTACATCAGGTCTTACTGACCGCTCAGCTGAGTTATGGAAACAATTGTTGGTATTCACTCACTTCAGCGTAAAACAATGTGATTTTCCCTTAACCTCTTGAGGGCAATTGAAACTCAACTGCCTTACTCTGCTGTGAAGCAGAAGAGGAGGTTTGCATGATGTGAGGTGGCTCCTTCAAGGAGGAAGTAACAAGTAGCTGATGAACAGCAAGCAGTTACCAAGATCTGTTTTGTGCCCTAATAAGCCCACTTGAATGCTGCCACCGTCTGTGACATTTGAATCTCCCTTCTCATTTCCCATTCCATTTTAAACATGCACATGAGCACACATACGTGCTCTCTGTCCCTCCCTCCTTCCCTGCTCCCCTGTTTGTTCTGGCAACTGCTCAGGTTGTTCACCATGAAGAACATGCTAGATTGCTCAAGAACTTCAGTCAAGGAGGCCAGACAAGATAAAGGGGAGATGTGAATGTGGATTTCAAGGAAACTACCTCAACTATCTTCCTTAAGAGCAACATCTTAAACCACAACAGCTGTTTCTACTGTAAACTTGTGATTATAGTGTCCTAAGTTACCGTCTACTGACAGTTTTAAACTGTTCAGAGTTTGATATATTTGAGATGGTACTTCTGAACTTCACAGAGTTGTTTCAGGAAATAAGATTTGGAACGTACACACTGCCTTTTACATAAAATAGTGATAGATGACAACAAAATAAAGACAAATTGCATAATTGTTAGTTGAGACAAAACAATGTTACAAGAAAGAATATATATTAATGCTTAAATAGTAAAAGAGCTTTCAAAAATATATCACAGGAAAAAAATAACTTTAATTTGGTGTTTTGTAAAAATGCTTTACTTGGTATCACTCCTACCTGCATCAATCACACCGTATCTTAATGCGAGGAGGGAGGTTAACTGAGCTTAGATAAAATCATATGACTGCTGTGCGTGTTTCAGTCATTGTAAGAGAACAATAGTTGCATTAACTGCTTTGTCATGAGTAAAATAAACTCTTATGATTCCTTAGTTTATCAACTGTTCTACCTAATAATTGTCACAATACTTCATGGCACAGATATTTTAAAGCCTAGTAGTTTCCCCAGTATTTGGGAATTAAGCTTAGCCCTTTACAAGATCTCCGTTCCTTAAAACTGAAAAAGCAGAAGTCATTCCTTATAGGAGAATCCCTAGCAACACAGAAAAAACAGTATCAGGTTCTGCAGATGCTGCTATCAGGTTGGTTTTTTGCTTTGTATTTACATGATTTTATTTTTTTTAATTAACATGTCCATTTGATGTGTTGCTATGCATAATATAAAAATGTTCTCTTGCTAGGCAGATTTTAATTATCAAGCTTCTGAGCTTAGAATACGTGCAGTCTCTTCTTGGCTACACCTGCTGTAACTGTGCACTTCTTTAAAGTGCTTATTTTTATATATGCCAAGGATTGAGGTAAAGAAGGTCTCTTACTGTAAGTTAGCAGTCTTCCAGAATTGTGTATGTGTAATGTCATCTATGCTGCATTTTATCACTTTTTGAGTTGTCTTAAGCTTTAAAATGCAATTGGCTTCAGTACTTAAGAAAATATTTACATTGGAGCAATGAATATTGAGGACTTCAGAAGGCATTGATTTTCTATGCCACTTGAGCTATATTTCACACTTCTGGCAGATATTGATGGTAAAAGGTCTAAAATAAGTAGAAAGAGCTGTCCTTTGTTGCAGAGAATATATTGGATTTCAGTCTGTAAAATAAAATTGTATATTCCAAGGAGAGCATGATTAATCAAGCATGGAGAGCCTGAAATAGCAGTGCCTGCCATGGTACTGAAACCATCCCTGTCTCTTCCCTCTATAAGCAGTAATGTAAATGTGGTTTGATCTCTTCTGTTCTATGATGCTAGTAATTTTCTAATTAGGTGAGGAAGTACTTTTGTTTCTAGAAAGTTTCTTTTCTAGAAACTTTCTACGTACCAAGCATCATCATCTGAACTGCTGCTATCTTTTTTAACACACTGTTTGGCTTTATTATAAGCCAAATCTAATACTTCAGTTTCATATCATAGAATAGTAGCACTGAATGGTCTGAAGTATTGTCACCTGCACAATAATGCACGTCTTATATATGGCCAGTGGAAATCAGAATCATTGTATACCACCAGAATTTGTGATAAATAGCTTCTCTCAGGATTTCTAAAGCATGTGAGTAGATTGTAATGCAAATAAATGCCTCTCCATCCCTCCTCACTGTAAGTGCTATCAGTATTGCCAAACATAGCCCAAACTGTATTATGAACATTTCCAGATAGGTAAGCAAAAAATAAATTCAGTTAAACTTGCATATTTCTAAAGAATGAATACTTCCAGCTTCAGAAGTATTTCCCAAACTTATAAGACTCTTGGTGTGGTGTCAAATTGTATTCAAGATACCAGCAGTTACAGATATGTCCTTGTCACTTATTCTTGTTGCTACTCTAACATTTATCCTTTGTCTTCATTCCAGTTTCCCTTCCTTGTTTCATTGTTAAAGCCTTCGTATGATATATCGCTGTGTTTTCCTCTAGTAAGGTCTGGCAGGAAAGGACGTCGGCGGGTGTTTAGTCTGTCGGAGGCTGACAGTCACGGTGGACACTGGGTTTAGGTCTTCAAGCAGCAGCTGCAACAGAAACTCGCGCAATATCAATTCAGGCAGGTTCCTCCATAAGCTTTCAAAAGCCCATAACAGTTAATAGAACATATTTGGTTTCCATGCTGACAGAAATGACAGTGAGGTAGGAAACTGGATAAAGCATCCTAAATATTTCTCTACTGTTTTTTTGGGGAGAATTGTAAAGCAATAATTAGCTGTTTCTGAAAGCCTTATCTGCAATTTCTCCCATGTTTCTTGGCTCTCTTGCCAAAGATGAAAATTCTGCTATCAAGCCTCCAGCTTCAAAGCAGCTATGTCTTCATTTGCACAGGGGCAGCCATGGCTGTAGTGGAATTTAGTAAGCACAGGCTCCTGAACGGACAGTAATGAAGGCTCTTGACTAGCAGCAAGAAATCTATAACTTGGGTTAAATGGACAAGCATTCAGCATAAGACTGTCCTTGGACTGTCATGGTACAAGCTTAATATTTCTGTGATCATCATACTCAGGCAGATGGCTTTATGGACTGTCTAATTGCCTGAGGTGGTGAGGAGGGGAAGCAGATGCAAAAAAGATGAAAATACACTTCAGACTACCTTCTTATCTATATAACCTGTTTTAACTTGTATCTAATTAATTTCTTTTTTTTACTATCATGGCATGAAGATATTTTACTCTGTTAATATTCTATAAACACCCTTTTTCATCTCTATAGATTTACTTTGTATCTTTTCACTTAATGTCCTGTTATTTATGTTTTTATTATCCTTTCATAATATGTTGCTGTACAGTTTAGGACACTTCTCTGTAGATGATATTCATTCTTTCCTTTTCCTGTTCTTTTCTATTTTCTTTCACTAATAATCATCCGTAACATAAGTTAATATGATAATAACAGAAGTCGAGCAATTTGGTTTGGATTTTTTTGCTGTAATGATAATCTTGGTACCATTGTGGAAGTGCTGAATAACATCTAAGGTTGCTGAGGCCACTGGAACCAGAGAGAGCTAATACCCAAAAACTTGCAAACCGACACCCTGTTTTAAACCTTGTTTAGTACTTAAATTTGGGGGTATGTGGGAGGTGTTTGTTAGAACTAAATGTTAACATCACAACTGTTTTAAGAAACTGAGTTCACTCTCCCTGGTTTTGTTGCAGATCTGGCATATAATTTTTGCCAGAACGTTCTTGCTTAAATACATGGGGATTGGGGAGCAGTAAATAGAAATGCTATTTTCCCATATTAGATGATAACTTTTTTATATTTAAGAGTAGAGCATATCTTAGTGACTGGTTATTTTTTTTCAGGTAAAAATGACAACTATTTTTGCTCTCTCTATCCAAAAGTCAAACTGGAATCAAGTGTTAGGGGTTCGGGTTTTTTTGAAAGCCAGTTAGTATTTTGATGTGTGATATGGACAAAAGTTCCAGATAACGGGTAGAGAGCTTAATCTCTCAACATACTGGGTGCCTTGAAACTCTCTTGAATCAAGAGCTTGGTACCGATCTGGATTTGAGAGACAGACATTCCTGTAATAATCCCTTTTTGAGCTTTTTTTTTTTTTCCCCCAGCTAGGGTGCATATTTTTGTCAATTGTTTATTCCAGTTTCAGGGACTTTAAGAATTAAGATCATACATAAATATGTATTTATCTACTTGGATCCTTCTCTGAATTGAGTATGACTTCAAAAGGCTTTGAAATTTTGAGCCTCGAAGATTTTCTCATTAATAATTATTGTCCTGAAGCTATGTATTCAATTAACTGGTAGATGTTGTATGTAAATACTTTTTACATCAAGAGGATGGTCTGATTTTTCATATTAATGCCTCTTACGTACCACATTTTCATTCCAAAATGCTGAATCTCTGTATTCTATTTTTCTATTTAGTTTCATTCATCTGTAGTCTAGGTTTGTTTTCCTCTATCCTTGTATCCAAAAGACATGGGAGATGATCACGCTTAAAAACTTACCTAGCACAAGCTTATAGTTCCAGTTGCAAGCTAAGTATACAGCTCAAGTAGCCTATGGATTTGAGAATTTGGTCACAAAGCTGTAAGTACCACTTTCATAGCTGTAGTTTATAGCTGTGATCAAAGAGTAGGATTTTTAGTTAAGTATTAGTCCAGAAGGGATAATATATTGCAAAATAGTACTGAGAACTGTTGACCTTTTCTAGACAATGTTAAAAATACTCCTTCCCCTGCCCCTTTCTGTACTGGTATTTCCTTTCTGCCCTGGCAGGGACTAGCAGCACTTTGCGAATACCTGGTCATTTTGGCAGTAATGCCATGCTGGGTTACACAAGTCTGTCACTGCTACCTTAAATACAGTAACAGAGTAACAGAAGTGAAGCTCTGACAGTGGTTAATGAAATATTGAAAGTAGAGGAGAGAGATTTAGTTCTGTGAATAGTAATTAAAGCAGGAGGGAAGATCTTTAATTTTGTATTTTCTGTAAATACTGCAGCTAAAATACTGGACAGAATATTTTCTGCTTACATTTTTTGACTTTTTTTCTGCACTTCTGATTTCTTTCAGACTTTTGGATAGAAACTTTGGACTTGTTGACTCCAGATACTTCTTTTTTTTTTTTTTGATGGAGACTTTTTTCAAATACTTTGTTTTTCTTCGTGACATTAAGAAGGGAGTCACTTTAGCATTAATTTAGATCCTGTGTGGAAGGATTTGGGGGCAATACAGCATAACAAAAGAATATGTATGTCTGTCATGATTTCAGTAAATGAAAGTAATCAAAAAATATATTAATATTTTGTTGGGAGAGGGAGAGGAATTATTTAACAAATAAACTGCAGGATCAGAAATGCAATAGCAGAACTGCAATAAAAATGTGTATAACATTCCTGAGCAGAATGCCATTGATTGATAATACTTTATTTACCAGAATGTCTCAGGTTTCTGAATCCTGAATTTTGGTGAATGTTCATACTATAATTAAGATAAAAAATAATCTTGGCAAAGAAAGTTTTGTATTCTTTTAAGATTTTATAAATTCAGAAAGTAAAATTACCACAAAGAGAGACACTGTTTTGTGCATACTTAAATGTTAGTATTTATCTTGGAATTCAGAGAAATAAGGCTTTATTTCAATGCTTTTAGCAGTGCTTTTTCCATGCAAGTCTTGCATCACTTCCTCTGTTATTGATCGCTACATTCTCACTAAAGCTTCTTGACAGCTAAAAAGAAGAATCTGCAGAGGTACTTTGAATCTGTCCTTATTTTTCAAAAATAACCAGTGATGTCCCTTTTATTTAAAAGGAGACTTTTTTATGATCTATAAATTTTGTTTATATTAAAGTGAGAAGCTTTAGCCACCGATTCAGCAAAAAATAAAATTGAGTGTTTTTCTGAAGTGAGAATACACCATTGTTTGGGGTTATCTTACCAGAAAGGTAAAAAACCCCAATAATCTTGCTGTTATCCCACTGATACTTTACTGATATCCATTCCATTCTCAGCTTTGTTTTTCTTTTTTTTTTTCCTTATATTTGTGCTTTCTGTTCTCTTACAGGATTAATTGGAATCATATTGAAACTGAAATATTTTTAAGGTCACTGTGTATTAAAAACAGAACCTAATTCTTAGATTCTCTATTCACTACATTGGCTTGTACACTCTTCTGCAGATGCCTGTACACTTGAACACATGCTGTTTCTTACAAGAGCTCTAAAAATGGTCTGTCTTGAAGCTGGATACCTGTTCCTTTAATGGCATCTATTACTCTAGTCTGAAAAGAAAAAAACCCTGACTTTTCTGGGCATATTTGCTCATATAAGGCTGTATCGCCTCAGTCCCTCTCTTCACTATCCATCTGAGCCAAATGAGCAGTTTACTCGATAGTTAGCTAGGATTTTAAGGGGCAAAAGGACAGTACAAGTAGCTTAACATGGTGGGTTTTTTCATTGTGTGGGAAGGTGTAGTAGCATATCAGTTTTTCTGTTGTATATAATGCTTATTCCCAGTTTTATCTGTGTTGTATGCTCCATGCTTAGCAGCACACACACACACAAAAAAAATCATATAACACAAGCCTGTATAAAAACAGGCATATTTTGCAGCACCTTTCAGTTACAGTAAGCACACTATTCTTCCATAGTTCTGCTTTCTGTGGTTGAGGTGTCACTTAAATGTGAATCTGGAGAATGAAGTGAGAGAAGGACTTCCAAATTTTTGTAAGGATTAAGCCACCTTTTGGGAAAACTAGATATACAGGGGTTCTTTTCTAAATTTATTTATTGTTTCTAAAGAGCTTCCTGGTGTGGCTATTCATTTCAGTCTATACTAAATAATGGAGAGGCTTTCTTACTCTCCCCCTCAATTTCCTCTCTCTAGGAATATTTCTGATATTGCTGCATATTCTAACACTAAATGTGAAAAATTTTCCGGTTCCTAATTTGAGCAGATTCCAGGCATTTTATGTTACACCTTCATAATATTTTATTTCTAATTACTAAAAAGTGAATGTGTAAGCCTAGTGCTTCACTGAACTGCATTTTCCACCCAATTATTCTTAAATATTCATAAATAACAGTATACTGCTAGACTTAATGTACATACCAAGTTGAATATTGATTGTTTCTTGGTGTTTTCTTTTATTAGATGATGCTTCAGCTCCAGAGCAGCCTCAGATGACCATTCCTGGTCAGACGATGTTGACTGATGAAACTCTTTCAGCTGTCTCAAAGTCCAGCAAGAATGCTGTAAAAAACAGTGACATAGAAACGGCAAACCTATCTCCTAGCCTGATTCCTGCACAGCAGCCCACAATATCATTAATAACAGATGACAATACAGATGCACTAAGTGTAGAGTCACTTACACTAGTGCCACCAGTCGATCCACACAGCATTCGAACATTCGGCTGCATTCTTCAGTCCTCTTTGCAATCTGAAGTTGAAGTTTGCAAGGTAAAAGAGGTAGAGGAAGAATGTTCTGACTAAAGCTAACCTGCAGACTGATAAACAGTGAAGCAAATGCAACCAAATTCTTCAT